CAAATGCTAGTGGAGTGGCTACTTTGATAGTCTCATATTCTGAGACAGGGTAAGTTTGGGACCAGAAAACGTTCTAAGCAGCAGTCCTTTAAATGTGATGGTGGAGCTATAGGGTGTGGCAAGCCACACAGTGTAGAGAGACAGAGCAGAAAAACTGTACCAAGAGGAGAGCTGCAGCCACTGCCGTGGCAGAGTGCTGAGGAGCCAAGGCAAAGGGCTGTGTCTGTGTCCTTGTGATTACCCGGGAGTGCAAGGTGCTGGCGGTCATCTGGAGCCAGCATCCAGCAGCTACTCGGAGTGGGAGCTCCCAGTGTGCTGATCTGGCATCCTCGTGGCAAGAGTGAATGTGGTCATTTGCCAAGAAACAGCCATGCTTTGGGGTTTTTTTAGCTTTTACCCAGAGAAGCAGGCAGGGTGTGTTGGATGATGCCTTTTAAACAGGAGGGCTGGAAGTTGAAACCAGAACATTCCGTGGCAACTGGAGAAAGTTCTGAGGAAAGTGCTGTGAGAGAGGCAGGACCCCCCTCCCCCTGCCTAGAGGAGAGACAAAGAACAGGCGAGGAGGGAACTGAAATAGGAAGCAGGAACCATGTCAGGAGGTTGGGGGCTAAAAGAAAGCAAATTAATAAACCACTGGGGGAAAGGCACGCAACTGTCCAAAGCCACTAGGAAAGATAAGCAAATTCCAGATTCTTTAACTGCTCTGTGTGTGTGTGCTTGCAGCCTGGCTAGTGAGTTAAACATAATCATTTTCCTCACTGTAGCAAGTACAACTTGTGTGTCTGTGGCACACAGACTTAAGAGAATACGAGCACTGTGTTATCTATATAATAGGGTGATTTAAGCTGGGTTTGTCAGCATTGCTATCACTCCACCTCGAACTTCTCAAGTAAATGTTCACATCAGGATGTGTGCACACATAGTGCAGTAATAAAAAGTTACTGGTAATATTCTGACTGCAGTAGAGACAAACAGTTCCTATCAAAAACAGGAGAAATCTGGTGTACAGGCTGAGGGCACTGTGTGGCCTTAAGTGCTAATGTAGTATTTTGGAAGTTAGAAGCTTGGTGCGCTCATTTGCACATCAGTACCCAGAATGCTTTTTCAGTTCCACCACTATTTAATTCAAGTGCTGGGTTTGAGCTTTTGGAAAGCTCTGTAGTTTGTGATGCCCTCACATGTGCCAAGTTCAGTATTTTCCACAGAATAGTTTAAGTGACGATATTAGATCGTGAATAGGTAGTCCAAGCATTCTTAATTAGGCTTGATGTTACAAATGCAAAAAAGCGTCCTTGAACAGTTTTTTCCAAGCGTTGTCTTTAACAAAACAAAGTCTGTTTGGAGAATATGTGTGTGTGTGTGATATGTATGGGGGAGATGCTTCTTCAAAAGTAGAGAACAATTTTTGTCTGAGACAGAAAGCAGATTTCAGCTGCAAATGAGTAATGATAATGATGATGTTGAAATAGCAGCTCTTCATAGAAAGACCTCGAGCACACAGGGAAGATTCAGCACTAGGACAGTCCAGGCAACCCCACGCAGTGAATTCGGCAGTGCATTTTGGAGCGTTTACCTGGGCCCGGGGAAGGTAACTTGAGGGAGCGGGAGCCTCGCCGCGCTGGGGCGTGGGGCGCTCCGGGCGCCGTGGGAACCCCGGCTGCGCGGGAGGGGCTCCGCGGGCAGCACTGTCCCCAACATGGACGCGCTCGGGGCTGTGAGGTGCCCGTGCCTCCCGCAGCCCCCGGCCCGCGGGTACCGTTCCTCCCAACCGCTCTCGAGGGGAGGGCATTTTCGTACTGGAAGAATTCCCGCTGTACCCCTTCCCTCCCCCACAATGCCGGCGCCTCGCTCTTCTAGCGAGGCTGAGAGTTGATCGTGTACGGGGGGTGGGGGTGAGAAATGCAATGAAAGACCGGGGGGAGGCCGGTCTGCGCTGCAGCCCCTGGCCCCTCTGGGATCGGCTCTCCTCAGGCGAGCCGAGGAGGTGGGGGCCGCTCTGCGCCTCTGCAGCTCCGGGAGGGTTTGCATTGGACGATTCGCGCCTGGGGAGGGGGGAAGGTTGCCTGCAGCCCCCCCGCCGGCCCCTCCTCCTCTCTCCAGCGGGAGGGGGCCTGGGGGGCGAGCTGCAGCCCGGATATTTGGGGGAGGGGGCGAGCGCAGCCCCACCACCCCCGTGAGCCGCGGGCGGGGGCCTCACTGCCGGCTCGGCATTGGAGGATCGGTGCTGGGGAAGGGGGAGACTGCAGC